GAGGTTTGTCTATTTTTAGTAGCTCCACAGGATTTTGAAGTTTACTCAAAAAACAATCAAACAAACAAAACAAAAACAAAAACAGCCTACCTTTTTTTCTTTTTTCTTTTTTTTTTGTCAATTAAAATTCTTTTCACCATCCAATAGACACCACAGGTAATCATTTACTATTTTGGAAACCAATGACACCTTTATTTTTTAAGCTTTCAGCTTCAGCTTCACTTTGTTGTATTCATATTAATTAAATGATATGTTTCTCTCTATCAAACTAAGAAACTTTATTCTGTGATTTGTTTGCAGTGGAAAGCTTTTCTTCGGTTTTTGCCCTTTTCAAATTGCAGATGTAAATGAAGTAAAACTGTTGGCAATGAATTACCATGATGTTACTCTCCAGCAGACAGCTTTTCAACACTGCATATTACATTAGTACTGAACTTAAGCAGTGGCTGTAAATGACTAATGGGTAATAGCTGCTTATCATCATATTGTCTTAAATGCCCCCAGGTCTCATAAAAATATAAATGTTTAAACATTTGTTGATATGGACATGCTACAGTCAGGAGCAACTCAGGAAATATTCCATATGGTTTGCAAAATGCACTGAAAATCTAGCAGTGGCAGACAAAATCCAAAAACTGTAACTCATTTTCAGAAACTTCTATTTTGGTGCTGTAGTCTAGAGTGTAGTTGAAAACTATGTCAATGTGGTAGAATTCTCCAGTTCATGTTAGTTATTATCTGGTGTGCAGTGGGAAACACAAGTACAGTTAACATTTTTGGTTAGGTGACTTTGTGGTTTTGTGGACTGTGGTGGATTGGGTGATTGTTTTGCAAAGTAGTCCAGGAAAAGAGATACTGCGGTGTATTTCAGAGGGAAAGTTCAACTATAGGCAAAACATCCACAGTTTATTCATTTATTGAAATTTATGTCCATGCGTGATAACAAGTAATCTTGCTGCAACAACTCGTGGTACAATGACACGTGGCTACCTCTTGCAATATTTAAGGAGTTACTTTAATGACAAACATAAAAAAATACAAAATCACATTCCCTAATGCATCCATGGGCACGATTATCTCTCTGCAGCAAATATTCTACCTTGAAACTGAAACATCTCCCCAATAAACAACACTGATATGACAGACACATATTTTGACGTGTGTATTTGGATAAGGCTTTTACAGTAAAATAATATCCAGCGAGGATGGATCTCAGGACTCAGAATTTATTAACTGTAGCTGATAATCCGTGACTGTGTGTTTGACAACTCACTTGTCTGAGCTGAAGAAAAGTCCGCCGTGTCATATACCGTTAGAAACTGATCGATCCTGTCTCCGTGTCGAGCATCACTTATAATTTCTTAGATGTATAATTACGTTACGACTGTGCTGTGTTCTCTTGTCTGCGTAAATGCACGCCCCTGTTTCGCTTTGGAGCTGTTCATATTCATCCTGCTGCTGTCTGATGCTGCAGGTACACATACATCCACAGAGCTGTTGCAGCCATCTAATGCTGCTTTCACTTGCCCTCGGACACCGGAGTTGCATTCACTGAAACCTGGGCATCGGAGTTTCAGTTAATTAACTTGATTTATGAGACCATGACCCCAGATTAGACTCGTTAAAAGTGAAATAATACGGTGCATCCTTAGAGCAATATCCTCGCGTGTCACGCAGTGATTTTATGTAATGTGTCAAACCATTTTGCTAAAGAGATTAGTGAGTCTCAGTAACTGTAGAAATCGTAAATAGTCAACTAGGTTTAAATGAAAATGTTTGTCCTTGTAGCAGAATGTCTGAACTCTTTAAAATATGTTTCTAAAATAAATGAAAGCCTAAATAGCTGACAACCTTTTTTCAGTACAGTTAAATTGTCAATTGAACTTCTTTGTGCTGCTGGACAGCCAGCGAACTACTGAAGAAAAATCTGCACACAAGACTTTCTTTTCTTGTATTTATGGAGGTTTCTTGTAATCAAACATGACAATTAGTAACTGTAACATACAGAAAAATGCGATTACTGTCTATATTGTACATGTGGTATGCCACACACAAACAGCTGGCTAATACACATGAAATACATCAGTAACTGCTCATGGAAACACCATCGAGTTTGCAAAACTTATTCAAAATAACAGTTTAAAACATTTGTGGCCTTTATATAAATGCTTTGTACACATAATACTCACAAAGACGAAAATTTCCAAAGGCTCAAACGTTTCAGAACCAACACAGTATATTTATGAGGTTTTTCAGACTTCGTTTCTG